AAACCACAGTACCTGTTTACTGCCACAGGTCTAGCAAATGGTGAAGTGTCTAGTAGTGACAGGGGTTGGGAGCAGTGTGGAGTTTCAGGAACTCTTCCCACACAGCTGGTGGGAATTAACGTAACCGCTTCGTAGAGCAAATGAGTTGGCATTGGTTGCCAACATTGAAATTTACATAGCTGTGCAAGCCAATAGTCACAAATCTTAGAAATCCTTACATGTGACCATCAAGCATCGTGGAACAGGAAAACTTAGTAGTAACATTGTGAGTAACAGGACCAAATGGAAACATCAGCAGTGGAGTGACTGTCTAAACTATAGGAAACTAAACACGAAACTATCATCAAGCAGTGGAAAAAATGTGTCACTTATAGATAAATTATAACAGTTTTGAGTGAAAGAAGCAAATTGCTGAACACATGTACATACATTTAGCCTCTGTAGGTTTTAAATATTTCTTCACAATGTATCATTATACACAACTGTGAAAATAATAAAGCTAAGGAGACCATTAATAAAAAGTCCAAGTCAGTGCCTACCAGGAAGAAAGATGATATGGTAGGAGGGGGTCAAGGGAGAACCGAAAAGAAATATTCAGAGTGACAGCCGTGTTTTTTTTTTTTCCAGGCAGAAACCTGCATAGATGGATAGTGATAACTTTTATAGTTTTATGGCTTTTACAAGTACAGCACACATTTTATACCCTCTTGGACTTAGTATGTAACCAGAAATGACCTTGAATTTCTGATCCTCCTGCTCAGCGCTGGACCTCAGTGCTGGAGTTACAGGAATATCACCACATCTGGTTTATGTGGTACTGGGGATCCAATCAGCGCTTTGTGCGTGGCAAATGAGGATTCTGCTGACTAAGCTACATCTCTAGCCCTACCTCTGTTTTTGAGGCTTGAAATTGGATGCTGTCAAGTAAATGTCAAAAAATACTTAGAGCAGAGGTTAGGAAGTAACTGTACTAGAGATCCAGCCCCACCATCTGTTGTGTATGGCCGGTGAGCTAAGAATGGGCTCTGTGTTTCTAAGTGCTTTGAAAAATCTCATTTCATGAAAGTCCTATGAATTCAGCTTTGAGTGTCTATAAATAAAGACTTGTTGGAACACACACACACAAAATTGGATGCTGTCTTTCTTATCTGCATTTATTTATTTGCATTGAGGGATATGCATAAGTCAAATAACAACTGTTGAGTCAGTTTTCTCCTTTCACCATGTGGCTCCTGGGATCCCACACTGGTCATCGGGCTTGGTGACAGGTACCTTTATCCAGCTGCCAAAAACTGGATATACTTTTTAAGCCTTGACCTAAAGCAATATTTTCATTTTTTTATTGATTTTTATTGAGCTCTAGATTTTTCTCTGCTCCCCCCGCCAGCTTCTCCCTTCCCCTTCAACCCTCTGCCTAGGTCCCCGTGCTCCCAATTTACTCAGGAGATCTTGTCGTTTTCTACTTCCCATGTAGATTAGATCCATTAGTGTCCTCATTGTTGTCCAGGTTCCCTGGGATTGTGATTTGTAGGCTGGTTTTCTTTGCTTTATGATGGAGGAATGTCTTCTGTCTATGTGTTACTTTCATTGGTTAGTAAAGAAACTGCCTTGGCCTTTGATAGGACAGCAGCTTAGATAGGCAGAGTAGTAGACAGAACAGAATGCTGGGAAGAAGGGAAGTGAAGCAGACACCATAGCTCTCCTACTCTGAGATGGAAGCAGGTTAAGATTTTCCCGGTAAGCCACCACCTCGTGGTGCTACACAGATTATTAGAAATGGGCCAATCAAGATGTGAGAGTTAGCCAATAAGAGACTGAAACTAATGGGCCAGGCAGTGTTTCAAAGAATACAGTTTCCGTGTAATTATTTTGGGTAAAGCTAGCCGGTGGCCGGGAGCTGAGTGGCGGAACGCAGCCCACTGCTCCATCTACAGCTTTACATTTAAAAACCACTTATGAGTGAGTACATGTGAACATTGTCTTTCTGTGTCTGGGTTACCTCACTCAAAATGGTGTTTTCTAACTCCATCCATTTGCCTGCAAAATTCAAGACGTCGTTATTTTTCTCTGCTGTGTGGTACTCCATTATGAACCACGTTTTCCTTATCCATTCTTTGGTCGAGGGGCATTTAGGCTGCTTCCAGGTTCTGGCTATGACAAACAATGCTGCTATGAACACAGTTGAGCACATGTCCTTGTGGCATGATTGAGCATCTTTTGGATATATACCCAAAAGTGGTATTACTGGGTCTTGAGGAAGGTTGTTTCCTAATTTTCCGAGAAATCGCCACACTGACATTCAAAGGGGCTATATCAGCTTGCATTCCCACCAGCAGTGCAGAAGTGTTCCCCTTTACCCCACAACCTTTCCAGCATAAGTTGTCATCAGTGTTTTTTATCTTGGCCATTCTTACAGGTGTAAGATGGAATCTCAGCATTGTTTTGATTCCTAAAGTGACGTTTTTAAGAATACCACAGAATACTGCCAAGACGATTAAGGATTACAAATGCAGACACTTATTTCAATAGTCAGGTAGTTATTCTAATGTTCTTTCTTAAGCCTTTGATTTCATGGCTGGTAGTGTTCAGGATGTAGCTAAAGTAATTCTATCCCATATATAGGGCATGCATTAATGGCCCAGGTGTCAGGTGGTTCTTTGGTATAGCAACGAATCGTGGAATTAAATTTAGTTGTAAAGGTGAATTAAACCTCTATTTGTTTTTGTTTCCGTTGGTTGCTCCTACTTGTGATTCTTAAAAAAAAAAAAAAAAGCTGAAAATAAAGGCGGAAAATTGTGCTCAAGTCACATGTTCTGTTCTGAGAATAGGCTCTGTAAGTGGGAGATGAATACAATGTAGCTGGTCCTCAGAAGCAAGAGTCTAACAAAGACAAAAGGAATCGAACACTGTAATCTCACATGGTCAGTGTGAGGGTGGGCATATGCACGAGGTCATAGAGAGTCATCACTGACCAGTGGAGCAGTGGGAAAGTCTTCAGAGGAAAAACACTCCAGAGACTTGGGAAACAAGCAGGAGATGTATGTATCTAAGACTGGAGGGGAAGGGTAGACCTGGGACAAGTGTGTGCCCAGGTCTCTAGACCTAAGGGATAGGATAGGCATCCGCTGTGCTCTTTGGGGTAGGAGACGGGAGAGATGCAAGCTGCTGATGCATTTGCCCATGCAGAACACAACAGTGCTCCTTTAGCTCGTACTGTGTACGGGTTATCAGCCTGTGCGAGCCCTTAGGAGAAGGCCGTGCTCTCTAGGACCTGCAGCACGTTGTGGCTACTTGCCGGGTAAAGGGAAGTAAGCAGAGAGCAGCTGGGGGGCAAGTTCAGAGTTCCTGCTGTGTAATCCCTATGTAATTGTATGGAAGATAGATTAGATATAGGCTTTTCTCCAAATAAAATGGGTTGAAGGGTCCGTGGTTGCTAAGATATCAAAAAATACAGCTTCTGAAGATACTGGTGTTATCTTTAGTATAATCAAATATTGACTTTGCCTATATGGTCTTAAGGGAAGACAGATTTGTGTTTATGTGGTGTTAAAATGCAGCAAGCAGAATATAAAAGTTTAATAGTGGTGAATGCCTGTAAGCCCAACATTTGAGGCCGAGGCAGCAAGATTGCAAGTTGAAGGCCGGGCTGTGCTCCACAGTGGGTACTGTTTAATAAATTATACGTGGGAATGCAGTATTGATGTGGCACACAGCTGCACACAAACTGTCCTTTCTGTTTCAAGTGTCACATCTGATAATAAACTGTATGGACAGCAGACTTAAATATTCAAACTTATATTTCATTAATATCCTGCCCAAATCTCAGACAGCCGTGTTATTTAAAGGGAATTGGATGGACAGCCACAATGTGTAGAGAGCCTTTGTGGGGATTTTCAGAGGCTGTGGGTGTATATGGTGCAGCAGTATAAGACCCTGGGTTTACTTGCCAGCTTAAAAAAAAAAAAAGCACGAGGCAGGCTAAGTAGGGGCTGTAGAACAGAATATTCTGTTCAATATAATTGTGAAATTTTATTCACTTTGTGTGCATGTACTATTTTAATGAACAATCTTGGTGTTTCTGCTTTCCAGAGAAATTACTGGAATTTTAACTTTTTTTGTACCTTCTAATACAGCATCATTTACAGTCACAGGTCTAATGCTCACTGCTTGTGTATAGACTTATACTTGTTTAATCTGTTGGCACAGACAGACCCCCCCTTTTTTTTTTTTTTTTTTTTGGTTTTCCAAGACAGGGTTTCTTTGTGTAGTTTTGGAGCCTGTCCTGGAGCTTGCTCTATAGACCAGAATGGCCTCGGACTCACAGAGATCCGCCTGCCTCTGCCTCCCGAGTGCTGGGATTAATGTCACATGCCACCACTGCCCGGCTCACAGACAGACCCTTAATGCCAAATGCTCTGCCTCAGTTTTTTGTTGTTTCAAGGCAGAGATTTGTGTAGCCCAGGCTGGCTCAGATTAACTGGGTAGCTGTAGATGACTATGATCTCTTGATCCTACTGCCTCTACCTCCTGAATGCTGTGATTACAGGCTTGCACCACAACACCCGGCTTGCCTTGCTTTTGTTTGGGAGTATTCTAGCATTTATGGACATAGCTTAGGCAGCTGAGTTGCTAACATGCACAATCCATGTGTTCTTTGCATTGTCTTTGCCTTTTTGTATTGTACCCATCAAAAAAATTCCCCCAATAGGGAATTACCCTCATATCTTACCAGAAATGACCCAGAAATCTCAAAAAGGGGGTGGGGGTGGGGCGGGGAATTCCCAATATGTAGAGATACCCAGAAGAAATTTAACATGTCTCTTTAGCTCCATAATTTGATAATGTCACTTTATGGTAGAAAGAACCACAGGAATGAAGAAGCCGCAGGCGACGTCAGAGTTCTGCTGGCTGCTTTCTGCAAGGCCCAGCCACACGGACTACAGTGAAATCTGATTTGTACTCGAAAAGGTCTCATTTCCTTATTTTCTCCTTTGACACAGAAATCCCCTGCAAAGAAGCTGAGCCATGCAATTAGTAAATCTTTGGGCTGTGTACCCTCCAGAGAACCCCCACATCCTGTTTTTCCTGAGCAACCAGAGAAACCACTTGACCTTGCACACATAGTGTAAGTATGCACCTGCATGGGCTGTGCCGAAACGGGGTTTTCTGATGGGAACTCTCGCGCCAAGGGCTGGTTTCTTTAAACCTTCATAATATCTGCATGTACTGCTCTGCATTCCTCAAGCCAGAGTAGTGCAGCAGCCCCCAGACACACCACAGCACGTCTGTGTGTCCATCCTTCCTTCAGGGTAGCCACAGTTTATTCTTTATGGCAATGAAACCCCCAGGGACTTAACTTAGATATTCACATGGTAGGGAAGGAAAATCTCCTGGGTTTTATCTTCTCAAACTCAAAGACACAGAGCGACAAAAGGCAGACCAGTGCAGCAGCGCGTGATTATTCTTCAGTGCACTGTACCTTGTGAAGCCATTTCTTCTACATATGTCTTCAGTGCATATGGAGTTGGTTTTGTTGTATGGTGTGATGTTGAAGCAGTCATACACATGCACTCACGCATGCGTGCATGCACACGCACCAGTCTGCATTTGAACAATAACTTGCTTCCAAAGTCATTTTTTGCATAATAATTCATTTCCTCGTGACCTGTTGTTAGTGTTACTGTTGTCAAAATTAAAATTTCCAGAGCTGGGGAGATGTGGTTCGGTGCTCACACAGCGTGCCAGGCTCTGGGTTCAACCTCTGATGCTGCATAAGTAAGAAAAAAGTCGCTTCTAAACGTACACAGGCTGATTTCTGGGCTTTTTATTCTGTGTTCTTTGGCCAAATTGGCTATTTCCTTGCCAAAATCACCCTGTCTCAGTTACCATAGAGACAGTGATATTTTTTAGGACTATCATCTCTATTCTTGTCCTTTCTTGTTTTCTTACAGATTTTGGCATCAGCTTATTGGATTCTTCATAAAATTTTGTTCAGGTTTTTACTGATTTTTTTTTTTTGAACCCAAAGACAAAATTGGAGAAAATTGACATTTTTATAATACTAAATTTTCTATTCTACAAACATAGTCTCTTTACATTCGCTTAAATGCCTGTTTATGCCTTTAAATAGTTTTATGGTTTTGACCTAGGAAAGGTGTTATATATGTTAGATTAGTTTCTGAAGTGGTTTTTGTGGTCTTTTTTTCTGTGTGTGTGCGGGGGCGGGGAGACATCTCACTATGTAGTTCAACCTGACCTTAAGCCCTCTCTTAGCCCAGGCTAGCCTGCTAGCCTTAGTTTCCTGAGTGGAGGGTAGAGTGTCTCACCTGACTAGACTGATGCCTGAGGACTCTACTCATTTTGTTGTCTTTTTTCCTTACCTTAGAAAAGTGTATAATTCCCGTGAATTTGTGTAATGTCTTGTCATGCTAGTGGGTTCCTTTTTGAATTATGCTTCTTATTAGTTACAGTGTATGGAAATATTGATGGGTTTTGTATTTTAATGTACTGTGTACTTTCTTAAGTTGCTCATTGCTTCTGATAATTTGTATTCATTTTTTAGAATTTTCTTTAAATAATTTTATAATCTGCAAATAATGATGGCTTTATTTCTTTCCACTTTGTAGACTTTCAGAAATTAATCATGCTTTTTGGGGTATAAAAGGTCTTGCTATGATGGCTAGAAACCTCCATACTGAATTGAAAGGGTGTAATGGGCATTTATTTATCTATCTGTCTATATGTTTCTCTACCTATCTATCTATCTATCCATCCGTCTGTCTGTCAGTCTGTCTGTCCATCCACCCATTCATCTATCTGTCTGCTATCTATCTATCTATCTATCTATCTATCTATCTATCTATCTATCTATTATCTATCTATCTATCATCTACCTATGTATCCTATCTATTTATCATTTGTCTATCTATCTATCTATCTATCTATCTATCTATCTATCTATCATCTATCTGTCAATCATCTCTCTGCCTGCCTATCTCTCTCTCGCTCTCTCTCACTCTCGCTCTCTCTTGCTCTCTACCCACCAACCATCTATTCTGTGTGTAGCTCTGGTTGTCCTGGAATTTACTCTGTAGACCAGGCTGGCTGGAACTCACAGAGATCCTCCTGCCTCTGCCTTCTGAGTGCTGGGATTAAAGATATGTGCCGCCACTGCCAGGCCAATAGGCCTTCTTACGTTATAGAAATCTCAAAGGCTCACAACTGTCACATAGTAGCACTGCCGCAGGGTTTACAGATGTAATCAGGTTAGTCAGCTTCTTTTTCATCTCCGCTTCCAAAGAGTGCTTCATTTTGGTGATGAACAGATGCTGAATTGTTTCAGAGTTTTCTATTTTGAGATGATTGTATGATTTTATTTTCCTCATTAATTTGTTTTAGTTGAGGGTAGCCTTTTGTGATGCTAGGGTTAAACCCAGGGCTTCCCACACATGAATGGGCTACATTTCCACCCCTGTTTTTAAGAAATCGCTCTTACATTCCTGGAACAAACCTGAGTGGGCTATCCAAAGCACTGCTGAATTATTATTATTATTATTATTATTATTTGGTTTTTCGAGACAGGGTTTCTCTGTGGTTTTGGAGCCTGTCCTGGAACTAGCTCTGTAGACCAGGCTGGTCTCGAACTCACAGAGATCCGCCTGCCTCTGCCTCCCGAGTGCTGGGATTAAAGGCATGCGCCATCACTGCCCGGCTCTGGTAATATTTTGTTAGATTGGGGCATGGTTTATAAGTGAATCTGGACTTCAATTTTCCTTCCCCCTCTTTTTTTGATAACTAAGAAAGACTTTGTTTTAAGACAAAACCATTAGCATAGCAATATAGTCAAATTTTATTGTGTGTGCTCATTTAAAAAATATTTTTGAATGGTGTATGTAGATGTCTTATGGGGACAAATGCACATATATGTGCATGATTGTGCAGAGGTCAATGTTGAATCTCTTTCTCAGTTGATTTCCACATTATTTTGAATGGTATATGTATGTGTCTTATCAGTGTGTACATGTGTATGTATGGGGACACATGCACACATATATACATGAATGTGGACAGCAGACGTCAATGTTGAATGTCTTTCTCAGTCAGTGTCCACTTTATTAGATTTCAAGAAAAGGTCTCTCACCCTGGAGCTTATCTGTTTAGCTAGACTAACCATCCAGTGAGCTTCCATGACCCACTTGTCTCTTCCCGTCTCCATCACCACTGGAGTTACAGATGTGGGCTGCCACACCGAGGTTTTTACATGGGTACTAGGGATCCAAGATCAGGTTCTCATGGGTGCATAGCAAGTGATTTACCAACTGGGCCATTTCCCTTGGCCCTCGGTGGGTTTTAGAAGAGAACTATTGCACTGAAGAGATGGCACAGTTGGTAAAGTACTTATTTGCCCAGCATATGGACCCTAGTTTGAGCTCCAGAAACCACGTTAAAACATTGCACATGGGGATGCACACTTGTAATTCTAGTGTTTGGAAGATCGAGACAGGAGGATCCCTGGGGCTTACTAACCAGCCAGCCTAACCTAATTGGCCCTAGTGAGAGACCCTGTCTCAGAAAAGAACAATACCCAGCGTTGAACTCTGACCTCTGAGTAAACGGAAACATATTCACAAACACATACCCAAATAATAATTATAGCATCAAATTAAAAAACTGATCAGATATCAGCTAAACGCTGGAACTATTGAAGAGCATCCACAATAGCTCAGCAGGTTAAGGCACTCTCCACAAAGCCTGACAACCTGAGTTTGATTTCTGAGTCCAAGATGGTAGAAACAGAACCAGTTCTTGCAAGTTGTTCTTTGACCTCCACATTCATGACCTGTGCACATGCATCTCTCTTTCTCCTCTCCTCCCCTATTCCCCCCAACACAAATAAAAAATCATTTCTTGTCTGCACTTCTGTGGACATGCATGACAAGCATGATATAAGGCGGTATAAGACCGGTAGACTTTAAGACCTCTTTTGACTAGGTGGTGAGAGCACACACCCTTAATCCCAGCACTCAGGAGGCAGAAGCAGGCGGATCTCTGTGAGTTCGAGGCCAGCCTGGTGTACAGAGTGAGTTCCAGGAAAGCCAGGGCTACACGAGAAATCTTGTCTTTAAAAAAAAAAATTATGCCCATTCTAATGCCCTCTTGTTCAGCTTTCTAGAATTAGTAGGTGACTTTACAAAGTATGGTAATATCAAGGAAAACTTCCAAAAAAAGTCTAAAAGAGATTCGTAGTTGTAGCTGAAGTGGATTGGTGTTCTCAGAAGCCAGGTTTCACAGACACTAAATCTAGTAAAGCACCCTGACAGTCCCATGGAAACACGGATTGAGCTGGTTTTAGTCATGATGCCCAGGAACTCTTGCTTCCTCACCTCGCCATCCCCATCAGCCTCCTTCATTGTTTGCTGTAGCTCCTCGTCAGTCACATTCTTGCTGAACCCAGCATGCACTTCAGCTTTATCAATGGAGTCTTCCCGGTGTCTCTCAGACATTTTCTGAGTTCACTTTTCCTGTCCTGTATCAGTTCTACTTATTATTTGCTCAGCTTCTTTCTTGGGTTCAAAGTCCAGGGCTCTCATCGATGTCTTTAATGTCCCTGAAACTAGAGTGACAGACAGTTGTGAGCCGCTGTGTAGGTTCTGGGAATCGAGCCCAGGTCCTCTGCTAGAGCAGCAGATGCTCTTAACCACCGACCCATCTCCCCAGCCCTGGTCAATGAACTCCATCCTCTTCCTAATGTGGCCACGTGAATTAATCCGCGTTCTCTGCTTTTCGTCAACACTTGTCCTTTTAATAGGTTTATTCAGAAGCTGGTCATGCCTGGTCAGTCGGGGCTGCCAGAGCCCGGCTTTTGTCTAGAAACCCTGGTTACAGCAGGGCTTTTACAGAAGGTCAAGTATGACCATTTATCCAAACTTCAAAAATAGGTGATTTGTATGAATGCATAAAAACCTATACAAAAGGTAACCAGTAAACAGTTATTAGTGGCTACCCTTCAGGAGACAAAAGGTAAAGTACATTTTGCCAATTTGACATGTCACTTCAGAATCAAAATTTTATTTTGTACCATGTAACTGGTGTCAGATCAGGGCCATCTTATTTATTCATTGTGTG